CATTTCTGTCTCTATAGGATATTTCCTTTAGGTGGAATTGTATATTATGTGGTCTTTTGGGACTGGCTTCTTTCACTAGGAGGTGGTATTTTTTAAGCAAAGAAGTAGGAATATGAAGAATTTGGAAGGCCTTTAATCTCAGTGAAAGGAAAAGCCAGGTTGTCCTAACACCAAGGTGAGTAGGGAAGAGAAGAGTATGTCAGGGTTTGAAAACTATCCCTTGGAAATGAAGAAAAGGCAAAGTCAGAAAAAGTCCTGAAGGTATTCTGCTGCTACATGTATGGACACCTCAAAGATCAATCTGTGTGAAAGCTTTGATTTTGATGGTCTGCACCAGGGCTGAGAGGTCACTGGTGTGCATAAGCTTGGGTGTATCAGTGGTTTGCACAGCCAAGGTCTGACCAGATTGTGCCTCTGCTGCCTGTTTCTAAAAGATACATCACCCTGGGTTGCATGCTGCTCTTCAGGGTATGATCCTTGAGTAAGTCCTTGGTTCTAGTTACTAGCATTGCTCAGAATAAGCAAGGGAGCAGGGGAGAGAGAGAGAGAGAGAATATAATTGAAGGATCCTGGGCACCTAGCCCCAAGACTTTTAGGGTTATCTGCTTATAATAATAAAGACAATCATCCAAAGAAGACAATAATCCTCTGCAAAGAAGCAGAGTTTTCAGGCAGCTGAGCATACCATTCCTGAGGGAGCTAGCAGGTCTAATATCAAGGGCTTAGCACTCAAGGGGAAAAAAAAAATTCTTCATCAACAGCCTACCAGGGGACATGACTGGAATTTTCAGTAAAGCCACAAGAACAAAGAAGCCTGTTTAAAATAGGGGTATGAGTTGGACACAGAGCTGATAAAGATTGCAAGACTCCTGGGGGCTTCCAACAGCACAGCACACCATGACTTTCCAGTGAGAGTATAATTAGGTCTGATGATGGTCGCTTCACCAGTGTTGAGTCTGCACTTGGCCCCAGGGATGACGTTGGATGGGCAGAGGACCCATATCTGTGATGGGTAACACCAGCAGTACCAGCATCATCACAGAAGCGGCCCCGCTCTAGCTTTCCAAAGTTACACCTAGGCAGAGACTCATGAAGAGCCTTCTGAACAAAAAGTATTTTGCGTGGGTAAAACTGTATCAGTTAGGATTCAATGGGTATCTGCAAGCCCAAATAGGAGTGCCAATGTGCATCTCCTGCTAGGTGTGGGTTTGGCGGAAGGCGGTCCCATGCAGTACCGCAGCTCTTGCTCAGGGTCTAGCCACCCAGCGCGCTCACCTCCCTGCCCCACGGTCTCCAGAGTGTGGCCCCTGCAGTGCTGCCGCCCTGGCCTCACATTCTCGGTGGAGGCAACAGATGGAAGAAAAGATGATGAAATAAATTCAAAAAGCTGCTTCCCACTGCCCTTTAAGGAACGCCCAGAGACGGCCATCTAACACTTCTGCTGATATTCTATGGGTCAGATGTAGTCATCTGGCCATATGCAACGGCAAGAGGAGTTAGGGACTGCACATTTATTCTCTAAGATTACACACCAGGTAACCTCAGGAGTGTGATTACGCTGCTGGGAGAGAAGAGGGTGCTAATCCCTCGTTCCCGTCGCACACACTGCTAGTTGCTTCTCTACATCCAGATTAAAAATGTGAAGAAGATGTATTGGATTTTCTGGCATTTACTAGTGACCAGGAACTCGAAGAAACAGAATATATATTTTTAAAAAATATTTATTTATTTTAGAGAGCACAAGCGGGAGGGGCAGAGGGAGGAGAGAGAATCTAAGGCAGAGTTGGCATTGACCGTGGAGGCTGGCGCAGGGCTGGGGGCTCGATCCCACGACCTTGAGATCAGGACCTGAGGCAAAACCAAGAGTGGGGCACCTAACCCAGTCCACCACCCGGGTGCCCCAAGAAACAGAATATTAAACAACATTTGTTGCCTAGGCAGAAGGGGAAGGAGGCAAGGACCTATCACATAATAGATATAGGGGCATTGAGCCTTGTTTCCTGAGTTTGCATTTGAGAATAACAAAGCCCAGAAAGGCTGAGTTACTTTTCACAGGTCTTGAAGACGGCCAGTCACTAGCATCCAGGACTGCTTCCCAACCAGCCTCTTCTTGTGCCTCCTGGATACCCAGGGCCCTGCAGATGTGGAAGACTTCTCTACTCTGTAGGGGAGCCTGAGCATCCAAGAGATTGCTCACACTGTAGGTGGCAGATTCAAATAGGATGGCCTGGAGAGAAAAAAACAAAAGAAATTCCTGTTTATTATTACTGTGTCCCTTGCCAGTGCTGGTCATTTAAGTCCCCCAAGTCTATAAATCCTGACACTCTTTTACCTCTGGCCAACATTCCCAGTAGGTTATTTTGTTTCTGCTTCAATCTCTTCAACGATGGGGGTCTACTTTGAGGCAGCCCATCCTAACTTGATGCTGCTTTAGTTGTTATATAGCTCCTGATATAGAGGAGAAAATAGCTTCCCTCCATCTTGTGAAAAGCTCTGAATGGATTAGAAACCATGCCAAGAAATATTTGTGGGAAGAGTGGTTACTATTCTTAATATCAAAATTTGGGACATATCCTGGAATCCTGAAATTTTCTTTAGTATGATAATTTACAACCTAACTCAAGAGGTACAACTTGTCGAACATCTAAAACCATTCTTACAGTTGTGTTTTTGAGTTCACAGATGACTGGTTGATAAATTTTACTCATTGCTATTTAAAAGGCTGCTTTGGGATAAAAGGAGACAAGGAAACACTCTCTAAAATTAGGAGAGGGAAGGACAGGATGTTCTGAAATATTTTGGTAGTTTCTGTGCTTGTAGGAAAAACAAGTTATAAATTGAAAAAAAACCCTTCACGGATCTCAATTTTCACATTTTACATTCTAAAAACTTATTTTTAGAATTTAAAACAAGGTATATGGTAAATTTCACAGTATTTATATTTTACCACAATAATAATTTTCTTAAAAAGGGGGAAAGAAGGGTATGGTCCAGGGAATAAAAACATAGCAAGGGGTGCCTGGGTGGCTCAGTCGTTAAGCTGCTTTGGCTCAGGTCATGATCCCAGGGTCCTGGGATTGAGTCCCACATCAGGCTCCCTGCTTGGCGGGAAGTCTGCTTCTCCCTCTCCCACTCTCCCTGCTTGTGTTTCCTCTCTCGCTGTGTCTCTCTCTGTCAAATAAATAAACAAAATCTTAAAAAAAAACAAACAAACCCATAGCAATAGTTTTAGAGCTGACATGTCTTAAATTACACTTGGTCTCTTCTCTAATCCCTATTATTTGAAGGAACAGTGCCAAATAGGGAGTCAAGGTTTTGTGCAATGGTTTGCTTTTGTAACAGGTATATCTTTTTTAATTGAAGTATAATTACTATACAATGTTATATTGGTTTCAGGTGTACAACACAATGATCCAACAATTGTATACATTACTCAGTGCTCACTATAAGTGTAGTCACCATCTGTCACCAAGTTATTACACTATTATTGACTATATTCATAGTCATATTCATGTATTTTTCATCTCTGTGACTTATTTATTTAATAATTGGAAGTTTTTACCTCTGAATCCCTTTCATCTATTTTGCCCATCCCCCCCATCTCAGGCAACCACCAGTTTGTTCTCTGATAGGTGTACTTTTCTTTTTTTTAAGATGTTATTTATTCATTTGAGAGAGCGAGAAAGCGAGAGAGCACAAGCAAGGGGAGAGGCAGGGAGAGAGGGAGAAGCAGACTCCCCACTGTGTGGGGAGCCTGACTTGGGCCTCAATCCCAGGACCCTGAGATCATGACCTGAGCCAAAGGGAGACACTTAACCATCTGAGCCACCCAGGCGCCCCTGATAGGTGTACTTTTTAAGCCCCTGAATGGACTGGTAAACAAGAGGTAGGGACATACATTTCTAGCTCTGGATGTTTTAGAAAATTGTAAATGAATTTAAATTATTAAATATATAGTAAATACTTGGATTATCCCAGAGGGCTATACACATTGGACTCTCCACAAACACTGCTTGCTGATACATTCTTATTAGAATTAGATCAGTAAGGAAGGTGTGCTGTCATCCTCAAATAAGAGCTGAATCATACAGAAGTCCATGTGGATCATAAACAAAGGTCTATGGAATTTGACACATAGGCCCAGATGTTGAAGAGTGTATGGGATATGAGAGTCCTCCAGGAAAATATTTAAAAATCAAGTTCCTGCCCTCAAAGAAGACTTTTCAAGGTACATGGGATTTGTTCCTGTTTCTATGAAGCAGTTATTTCACCTTCTCTTGGGAAACTACTTACATATCCATTCAGTGGACTGCATTTCTTTTTTTGTTTTAGAAGGTGGGGTGGGGGGAAAGAGAGAGAAAGATGTATCTCCATATAGGGCCATCTCAGAAACACTTACAAATGACATTCCTTTCATTCAACACCTGGAATTAACTGTTCCTTCCTCTGCTTTCCTACAGGATCCAACAATTATTTGACTATTACATATATATATATTTAAGGACCTGGTGCAAACAATTAAAAGAAACTTAAAAAAAAAGATTTTATTTATTTATTTATTTGAGAGAGAGGGAGAGATGGCTTGAATGAGGTGGGGGAAGGGCAGAGGGAGAAGCAGACTCCTCGATGAGCAGAGAGCCTGACTTGAGCTTGATCCCAGGACCCTGAGATCATGACCCGAGCCGAAGGCAGATGCTTAACTGACTAAGGCACCCAGGCGCCCCTAAGAAAAACTTTAAGCCAGGAATAAACTCACAGTAAGCCTTTGGCACAGAGAAGATTCAAATATGTTCTGTCCAGGGTTCCACAAACACCAAATACCAGTATCATCTTTTCTCTGCTGACCCAGGTCAAACATGAGTTGTGTTTAGGGAGGGGGAGGGGAGGGACATGTGATCAACCTACAGCTAATTCATTTTTCTCCCATTTGTTTTGAAGTGACAGAGCAATGGTTTTTAAACTTTTATTTTCAGCTGCACAAACTCGTTTTTTTTTTGCAGATTCTTACTCATCATTCCTGTATTTAAACTAAACTGGGTGAAAGTACAGCTGACCAAGTTTTCATCAGCAGGAGCCTGAGCCCCTCCCACTGAGTCCTCTCTCTCCCCTGAAGACATTTGAGTCTGTCAGCTGACCTGCAAACTCAGTGGAACAGTTTGAAGACCACTGACAACCTGACTCGGCCTGGTGAAAATCCATGGAAAATGTGCTTGTGAAGCAAAATGGACCCAGGAAAACCCCGCTTGGGCTCCGCAAGGTCTGCGTTTATTTTCTGCTGCCCCCACCCCATCCCTCACCCCTGGGGGAATGGGGAACTTTGCTGCACTAAGGATTGCACCACTGGGGACTTGGCCTTTCCCCTTTCACTTCTCCACTGGGGGCCCTTCAGCACAATATATGCTTCATCCACCTCTGTGAGTACAAAGCCATTTCACTGGGGAGGGGGGTTCTCTGTTGTAATTAAGAATTTGAGCTCTAGAGTCTGACTGCCAGGGCTCAAAGCCAGGCTCCAGGACTTGCTAGATGCAAGAGCCTAGGCAGTCACTTACTCCCATTTTGTCCCAAATTTCCTCACTGGTGATATAAGGACAGTAATAGCACCTGCCTCACAGGGTTGCTGTAAGGATTAAACAAGATAATGACTGTAAGTCCTTTAGAACAGTGACAGATAGAGTAAATGTTTGGCAAATACAAGATGTCATTAGGAACACAGTCTGTTTGCTTGCCTGACACAGAACAGCTAGCTCAAATAGTTTGCTCCTTTTGCACTTAATTTTCTGGGTCATCTAAATTTTCCTTGCTGGCTCCAAATCGAACATGTGTCCTCTGCAATCACACCTATGATGTGTAAGTTTGAGAAGTACCACATCATTTCCAGGTGTCACTGCTTTCCTTCTGTTCTCTGAGCAGCAAAACCATAATGACTACTCCCAGAAGTTTCTAGAAACTCCAACTTTGTTGGTTTTAGTTTTCCCAAAGATACTTTGTCTTTCAACTCCTATAGTTCTTTTAGTTTGACTTTTCCTTCTTGTATCTTGAAAAATCTATATTTCAAACAATTTTTAATTAGTACAAACAGGACTGGCCACATAATTTTCAGGACCCATTGCAAAATGAAAATGTAGGTGCCTTGTTCACAATTATTAAGAATTTCAAGGCAGTGACAGCAAAGCATTAAACCAAGTGCAGGGCCATGAAACTGGCCCTGAGTACAAACATATTTAAAGGCTTTGCTTTATTTATGCCACAATCAGGATGGGATATGCAATTTACACAGTAAGATTTTTGTCACTTGCTAGACCCCAAGACCTAACTTTTACTGTCTACCTGCTTGTACTCACTAGCCTTTGTCTTATATTTTTCCTTAATCTCTTCTTTCTGGCTTGCCTCTTAACTCTGGCAAATGAAACCTGAAACCACCCCTCAGGGGATGGCAACTGCCCAGACAAGACCACCCAGACCCTTTGAGTTAACCCCCCACCTCCTCTCAAAGGCCTGCACAGATGGACTGTGGAGTGACCCCACCCCTCATGACTGGTAGTTGCCTTTACCTCATCATAATACTAAAATTTCCACCCAAGAAGGAGACTCAGCCTCATTTATATGACATGCAATGTATGTATAGGCATGTTTCCTTAAGGCGCATGATCAATCTTATGTCTGCCTCCACATAGGATGACAAGGCTTCCCTATCTAAAATATTTATCCTATAGATTTTGGATACCAGCCCTTTATCTGTTATGTCATTTTCTTCTCCCATTCCATAGGTTGTCTTTTAGTTTTGTTGACTGTTTCCTTTGCTGTGCAGAAGCTTTTTATCTTGATGAAGTCCCCAAAGTTCATTTTTGCCTTTGTTTTTCTTGCCTTTAGAGATGTGTCTTGCAAGAGGTTGCTGCGGCCTAAGTTGAAATGGTTGCTGCCTATGTTCTCCTCTAGGATTTTGATGGATTCCTATATCACATTTAGATCTTTCATCCATTTTGAGTTTATATTTGTGTAAGGTGTAAGGAAATGGTCCAGTTTCATCCTTCTGCATGTGGCTGTCCAATTTTCCCAGCACCATTTATTAAAGAGACTGTCTTTTTTCCATTGGATATTCTTCCCTGCTTTACCAAAGATTAGTTGACCATAGAGTTGAGGGTCCATTTCTGGGCTCTCTATTCTGTTCCATTGATCTATGTGTCTGTTTTTGTGCCAGTACCATGCTGTCTTGATGATTACAGCTTTGTAATAGAGCTTGAAGTCCGGAATTGTGATGCCACCAGGTTTGGTTTTCTTTTTCAACATTCCTCTGGCTATTTGGGGTCTTTTCTGGTTCCATACAAATTTTAGGATTATTTGTTCCAGCTCTGTGAAAAATGTCGATGGTATTTTGATAGGGATTGCATTGAATGTGTAGATTGCTCTGGGAAGCATAGGCATTTTAAGAAATAGTGCAGAGGATCAGAGGGGAAGGGAGGGAAAACTGAATGGGGAGAAATCAGAAAGGGAGCCAAACCAGAAGAGACTCTTGACTCCGGGGGGAAAAAACAGTGTTGTGGAAAGGGAGGTGGGTGGGGGGATGGGGTAACTGGGTGATGGGCATTAAGGATGTGATGTGTTGAGCACTGGGTGTTATACACAACTACTGAATCATTGAACACTATACCAAAAATAAACCATATGTTGGCTAATTGAATTTAAATTAAAAAAATAAAATATCCATCCTAATCCTAAACAAAAGTCACCCATTCACCCTCTCTAAGGAGTCATGGCTTTGTAAACCATCCCTGTGATCCTATTTGCTGCAAATGAAGTTTTCTTTGTGTGACAACTTGGTGTAGTTTCTGTGACTCACCAAGGAGTGAACTCACATTGGTTCAGTTACAATTTCTCTTACTTTTATGTATGACGGCTTTAGGGACAGAAAGTATATATGTTCCAAAGACATTTGCTTAATCTTCCCACAGATAATAGTTGTAAACAAAAGACAAGGGATTCTGTCTAAAGATCCGTATAACAGATTCCTTTAGAGGGAAATCACATCTCTCTCCACTGGGGAAGGAGTTGACTCAATTTTTTTTTCTTGCATTCCCCAATGATATTTTTATTTTAATAAAGATCACAGAGTCTCATCTTTCAGCTGTCATCAGTCTTATAAAAAAATTCACTATTGCTAATGGTGTTATATTCACTATATAAAAGGAGGTTATTCACTTCTCAGTGCTTCTTTTGTTGTGTGAGGAATCTTTCTGAAGAACCGAGCTGACTTTTCTATCTTAATGCTGATACCCTCCAGACGTGGAGCCTGAAATAAGGATTTAATGATTAATAGTTTGTTAGGAAGTAGGAAAGGTGGCACCAAATGATGAATTATTAAGCCATCTATCACAATGGTCAATTGGATATTAATCCTGCAAAGAAACTCTGAGATACTAAAGCACACACCACAGAATTATCTCACTTGGGGGCTCAAGGAGGTGGGGACCATAGACATCAATGCCCGTCAATCACTGGGATTGAGAACTGCTGAGAGGGGGCAAGGCTAAATCCAGCCAGTGCACTCTGGGATGGTATGGTCTCAGGGATGGGAAAATGCTGATGTTGTCTGCTATATCTGCAATAGAACATTGGAAAGAGGGTCTTCAAAGCAAACAGCTCTGGGTTCTGAGATCAGCTCAACTTATTAGAAGAATGATTTGGGGTGAGTTAACATAGAAATACCACCATTTACCTACCTTCAGTGTTCTTGGGATTATTAGAATTGTATGAAGCAACAGACATAGCCATTTACATAAATAGTGCCATTAAATTGTTTTTTTTAAACCAGTATTTCTCAAAACTAAATATTCATAGCAATCACTTGAAAATCTTGTTAGAGGGCAGATTCTGACTTTACATACCTGGATGGGGAATGAGGTTCTGCATTTCTAACAAGCTCCCAGGTGATACTGATGCTGCTGGTCCATGGACCATTCTTTACACAGTGAGATTTTAAACCATTCTAAAATTTCTCTTTAACCACTGTATACAGTAAGTCATAAAACATTTTCCCTGTATCTGCTGAGTTTAATCATAGTTAAAAAAAAATTTTGAACACATCCACAAGAGCCTTATATGGAAAATAACCAGCTGTGTTAATCACTGCTAATAAACTTAACTGCCTGGGGTTCCCAGAGCAGAGTTACACAAGAGACAAAGTGCAGAGTGAAAAATATATAGAATAGATAAGGATTTCAGCATTATGGGAAACCTAAGAAAGCCCAAAAGTTGCATCATTATTAGAGAATGAGGAAAAAGAAGAGACCTTGAAACATATTTCTAAGCAATTCATGACACATGGCACTAATATAAAATTAATGTGATGTGCTTTGAGATGTCTCCTATGTGCAATACATTATGAAGGGTAGAAATGTAAAAGCATGTTTGTGCTGTTTACAGTTTGTTGAGGGGAACAGATAGATACATAAATGAAGATACTAAACAGTAAAAATGTGAATAATTCTCCTTAGTGGGAGAGCTTTGTTAGGCACAGGGAGGTTATTTTGGTCTGGAATACCTGGGGAAAATACTGTTGGAAGGAGGGATTTCAGCTGAGATTTCAGAAGACAGGTAAGTCTTCCTTTGACTATTGTGGGAATGTATAGGAAAATAGTCATAACTTTAGAGAAATGATTTTATAAAATGTGCCTCAGAAAGGGCACTGTTGGGATGCTTGGGTGGCTCAGTTGCTTAAGCATCTGCCTTCGGCTCAGGTCATGATCCCAGGGTCCTGGGATCCAGCCCCACATCAGGCTCCCTGCTCAGCGGGGAGCCTGCTTCTCCCTCTGCCTACTCTTGCCACTCTGCCTGCTTGTGCTCTCTCTTTCTTTCTCTCTTTCTTGCTGACAAATAAATAAAAATCTTAAAAAGGGGGGGGCACTGTTTAGGAGTATGTAATGTCAGTAACAGGGCTTGGCTAAGAACAGTGGCACACAATGCACTTTTTGACCCTCCGCCGAGGGAGATGGAGGTAAAAAAGCAAGTGGCTTTTTATAAGTATTTTTTATAAGTATTTTATAAGTATTATAATCATTAAAATTATGAAACATGGAGTTAGATCTGGGTTCACACACAGATTTCAACAAGAGCTAGCTGTGGGACTCAGAAACATCATTCACCTTAAATCTCTAGTTTCTTATGCATAAACTGTTGATTTCAAGATTTCTAAAAAGGATTGAAGTGATGATTAGAAAATTCTTGAAGGGAGGGGCACCTGGGTGGCTCAGTTCATTAAGTACCCAACTCTTGATTTCAGCTCAGATCATGATCTCAGTCACGGAGTCCCGTGTTGAGCTCCGTGCTCAGTGGGGAGTCTGCTTAAGATTCTCACCCTCCCTCTGCCCCTCCCCACCTCCCTCCCACCACCGTTCTCTCACTTGCTCTCTCTCTGTCTAAAATAAATGAATAAATCTTTTTTAAAAATAAAATTCATGAAAGGAAATCCACTGTATATTTCTTAGTACAGGGCCTGGTACATAGTAAGTATTTGATAGATAGTAAGCACTAACATATTCAAAACAGAATGAGAAAGGCCCGCAGAGAGAGAGAGAGAGAGAGAATGAAAGAAACAAAACTTATTGTGGTCACAGCAATGCTTCTGACTAGGAAATTCTAGGAGGTGAAGCGGGCCACAAAGATGAGCTCCAAGATATTCAGGTGTGTGTGTGTGTGTGTGTGTGTGTGTGTAGAAGTATCTATATCTAGAAGTATTTATATCTAGAGATATATCTGGGAGCATGTATGTCTGTATATATAGTTTCAGCTTATGCTGTCAATGACCACACATACACAGAGCAAATTTTAGTGTTTTCATAAAAGAGAAGGGTGGATGGTTTCTATGATGTGCTGCCCAAATTCCCCCTCAGGAATAAAGAAGCTATTGCCCCACTACTGGGAGTGCCTCTAGCTGAAGAAAGCCACCTTGCCGAAAGTCATGCCTCTTCTTTGGGTGGTCCATATCCAGTGACTGTTGGCACAGAGATGTAAAGGCTCATCCTTCTCAGTTGTGAACAGCTCTGAAAGGTTTTTCATCTTCAGAAATCTCCTGGGGTCGGGGCGCCTGGGTGGCTCAGTCGTTAAGCGTCTGCCTTCGGCTCAGGTCATGGTCCCAGGGTCCTGGGTTCGAACCCCACATTGGGCTCCCTGCCAGGCGGGAAGCCTGCTTCTCCCTCTCCCACTCCCCCTGCTTGTGTTCCATCTCTCGCTGTGTCTCTCTCTGTCAAATACATAAATGGAATCTTAAAAAAAAAAAAAAAGAAAAACAAATCTCCATGGGGTCAACTGAAACCTCACCCAGACTGCATCATATCTCAGTTTTTTCCTCTGCCCAAATCCTATATCCTCCTCTCCCCTTCACGCGTTAAACCTCCTACATGATAATTTCCATCTTAGAGTCGGCTTCCTGGAGAATCCAGCCTGTGGCAGGTGGTGCTGCTGGTCGTTAAGTGGAAGACATATAGCCACTGGCACAAGGTGATAGTGCAGGTGTTAAAATGATCACAGGTGATGAAGTTGGATGCTATGCTGGTAAAAGAAAATACATTAGCTGGTATTGGTTTCTGCTATTGGAAAAATAGGGAAATACTAACTATAAAAATAGTGGAATTGAGTGCCTTTTTAAAACTCAGTTGAAGCTTTGGAAAAAAGATAAGCCAGAGGTGAAAAGAAGAGGTTCTCCTTAATTGCATGTAAAGAAGCTCTCATTTCCCTCAGCATGAAGAGCTGAAAATATCGAGGACCAGGAACGAATGTAAGAGTAGCTGAACTTCAAAAGAGTTTAAACTCTCAACACTCATAGCAGATCTGCCATACCAAGGTTGTAACATGTGGGTTGGGGACACCTGGGTAGATTGTTGATTGCTCCTCTTCCTCTGTAAAACCTTGAATCTCCAGATTTCCCTCCTACAGAAATAGTTTGTTCCTTCCTGTTAAGGATTAGCACTCTTCTCTTACTTGAAGACCATGCAGAAGCCTTTTTCTTGCAAGACAACATGTGCCTGCCTCAGGATCTGGCCCCACCATCCACTTGTCACTGTCCTATAAGTTGCAGCACAAATAATGAGAGATATGCTGGGCATGATAAGGAAGAAAAGGGACTGTATCCCAAAGGAGATACAGGACCTAGCCATCTTTCACAAACACTAACTGGAAGATTATAGATGGTTTCTGTGGATGCTGGATCAAGGGGTCAGAAATTACTGTTTGAAAAGAGAGCTTATCAATTTGAGAGACTCTTCTAGGATATATGATTTAAAATTTTGGCAAGGACACCAAGAGATGGTGTAAACACACTCCTACTGTGGCTCTTAAGTGCATGAATAAAGCAATAGCTCATAGTAAGTGGGAATAGAAATACCAGAGTTGCGGGGCCCCTGGGTGGCTCAGTCGTTAAGCGTCTTCCTTCTGCTCAG